TTTCTCTGGACCCTTCCTTCCCCTAACACTTATGTACAGTGTGGTCACTATTTAAAAAAAAACAAAAAAACGTAGTTGTATATATCAATGGAGTTTAATAATACTTCTACTGTATTCTACCACTGTATTCTTTGAAGCAGGGGATGAAAGGGAAGGGAATAAAATAAGGAGATTCAGGATAAGAGCTGTTTGATCCCTTTACTATCTTCCCCACTTCATAACCTTGAATGTTTGCTCCACACCCACCCTGGCAGAATTTTCGAGGTCTGCTTTCTACAAGGGACAAAACAAATGTTCTATGGACTGGGGGACACAAAAGACAGTTGGTGGGAATATAGTACTGAAAACTGAAGGGAATTAAGTGAACACATGCACAATTAATGTTGAATGCAGCAACCCCCGCCAACACTCCTCACCCCCTCACCCCACCTAAACAGTGATGGGAAGACTCTGCTTCTTGTCCACGATACTGATAGGAAGAAGTTAATCAACAACAGGGACACAAAGTTCACCCTATAGTAAAGTCCCAAGGCAACCAGCCTATGTGTTTAAAGCTTCTATTTAAAGCTTCCCACTCTTAATCACGAGCAGACATCTATTACTAGACATCACAAGAAAACTCTAATGTAAAAGAGATCAAAACAGAGAAAAGTAACTTTAAGGGAAAAGAGACAAAGCAACAAAGAAAATTTGTTGAAAGAATAAAAGAATATTATGAAAGAAACATTCAAAGAAAAAAAGACCTCCTAGAAGGTAAAACGTAACAGTAAAAAAATTAATAGAAAGTAAAGATAAAGAAATCTTCCAGGAGGTAGAGCTAAAGGAAAAAGACAAAAATCAGAGTACTATTCCAGGAGGTCCAACATCAAGAGGCTATTGGCAGTCAAGAAAGAGGAAGACATAAGAGGAAACACAGGAGAGAAGCAGAGTTGCCAGGTAACCAGGAATACCCCAGATAACAGCCGTGTATCACACACGGAGGGGCACCTATCCAGATTGGAGCAGTGTAACTCAAGAGACACACGAAGCAGGGGATGAAAGGCCATCAGCACCAAAATCTCTGCTGCCATTTATCCCCTTTTCAAAGACAAGAACACAGGGCCGAGGTAAGCCTGGCCACCAGCTTGTCTTGACTGAATGCAAGTGAATCTCTTCTCAAAATATGCACCTGCCTAATGAGCTCATTTCACCCCACAGAAGTATTCTTTATTCTACAGTGGTTGGTAGATCACAGTCAATTTAGAAAAAGCCACAGAACTGCTCACTCCCTGTGACCATATTTTTGCCAAATGTCCCATATCTGGTCCACACTGAAGCCCTGCCCAATACAATTTCCAAGACTAAGTCCTGACTTTACTCATGACTTCTACTCTACGAATCTCAGGAAGCTGGAGAAAGTACAGTTCATTGATCCCTGGGCATCCCTGAGATTCTTTCAGGGGTCCAAGAAGTACAACTATACACTTAATAATACTAAAGAGCTATTTGCCCTTTTCACCATTTTGACACTTGCTCTGATAATCCAAAAGCAATGGTGAGCAAAACTGCTGGTAATTTAACACAAAATTTTTAACACAAATTAAGGCAATAGCACCAAATTGTACCAGGCCTCAGAGTCTTCACCATTATATAACTGAAGTTAAAAATAATGCCAGCTTTTAAAAAAAAATCTTCACCCCAGGGCATGCTTACTGATGTTAGAGAAGAGAGGGGAGAGAAGAGGGAAACACTGATGTGAGAAAAATCAATTGGCTGCCTCCATATGCATCCTGACCAGAGACCAACCTAGGCAAATGCCCGGACTGGGAAGCAAACCCACAACCCCTTGGTTTACTGGCCCATGTACCAACTAACTGAGCCATACTGGCCAGGGCATAATGCCAGCTTTAAGAATGTCCTTGGGGGGAAAAAGAAAAAAGAAAAGAAAAGAATGGCCCTGGCTGGTGTGGTTCAGTGGATTGAGCGCTGGACTGTGAACCAAAGGGTCACTGGTTTGATTCCCCATCAGGACACATGCCTGGGTTGCAGGCCAGGCCCCCCACTAGGGGGTGCACGAGAGGCAACCACAATTGAAGTTTTTCTTCCCCTTTTTCCCTTCCTCCCCTCTCTAAAAATAAAATCTTTAAAAAAACAAAAAGAATATCCTTGATAAAAACATAAAGGTTACTAGTTTTAATAATGCAACCTTTTGGTATGTCTTTTTATTTTTATTTAAAAATATTTTATTTATTTATTTTTAGAGAGAGGGGAAGGGAAGGAGAAAGAGTGGGTGAGAAAAATCGGGTGAGAAAGATCAATGTGTGGTTGCCTCTCATGTGTCCCCTAGTGGGGACCTGGCCTGCAACCCAGGAATGTGCCCTGATTGGGAATCGAACCAGGGACCCTTTGCTTCACAAGCCCATGCTCAATCCACTGAGCTACACCAGCCAGGGCTGGTATGTCTTTTTAAATATAAGTACAATAGTTACCTTCAGGAAAGGCATTTGTGTGACTGAGTTGCAAGATGAACTAGCCAGTTTTTGTCAAAAATACCATTTCGCTTGAAAGATTGAATGACAGATTATGTTATTCATGCTCAGATATCGGACAGATTATTTTCTCAAAATTGAATAAAGTGAGTCTGTTACTAAAAACAAAACAAAACATAACAGTATGCATTGTCAGTGATATTAAGTCAAGCTTCCAAAAAAAAATAAGAAAATTGAAAACCGTATCAGAGTGAGCCTGACAACTTTGAAAATTTAAAGACTTTTCCAATGAGATCAGTAGTGGTATTAAAAAGTGTTAATACTAACAAAATTAATGAGTTTTAATATATACAAACACCTGCCTATATAGAAAAAAATCCTAGAAGCCTTAGGTAAATCCCACAGGAACTTGATGGATAAAAATCCATCAGTTTTCTTTTTTTAATAAAAAAATTCACTCTCAATATATATCTCTACAAAACTGCTAGCTAACAAAACCTTCACCCCATCTTATGTAGATTCCATCTTCTTTTTTTTTTAAGACTCCATCTTTTTAAAAACAAACTCATTTTACATTCAGAATCTTTATTTTGTCTAATGGAATTGTGTGGAGCATAACTCAAACCAAAGTCTCGTCATGTGTATGTTTTGCAGGCAACTAAGGAAAAATCAGTATGACGTCTGAAGAGGGAATGGATGAGACAGAATGAGCAGAATGAGATTGGGTGTTAAATATATGACTATGAATCATTCCATTTTTCTAAAATCCACATTATGAATGTAAAAGTTAACTAATTTACAAATTCCAAGATCTGAAGTATTAGAGGAAAAATCTCACTAGCACAGAACACAAATGTTTCCCCCATACTAGTGATCAAAGCACATTTCAATTTATGTTTCAACTTAGTACTGGTCAACTACAACTTCCATAGCAGCATTCTTGCTTCGGTATCCTCCAGTAAATTTAAATTATACTTCATCTAAGTTAAATTTAATTAGCTCGATGATAAATTTAATTAATTCGATTAAACAGAATTTAAGTTATGCTTGAGTTAGGTGATGTTGAAGGTCAGCGAGGAAAATGTTTCCAGTAAAGATCCTTGGAATTATTGTACATTACTCTCGCTGGCCATACGGGCATGTTCTTTAGGATTTGTCACCAGGCAACTACAATCAAATTGTTAATAAACAATCCCCTCAAGAATTAACTTGATAATAAAACTATACATTTATAAATAAAATACTAACTGCCCTCTGGTGTTCAAACCAAGGATTTCACTGATGAACTTGACACAATGTAAGGTATCCTTCAGGGGGGAAAAACACCAAGGTCATAAAAAAGCCATTTAGGGTCACTAAAATCAGAGGAGAAATTCTGATTTTGCAAGGTTTTTAAGAAGCCTTCTCAAATCCAGGGCAAGGGCTATGAATCTGAGCTATCTGATATTTTTGTACAAGTAGGCCAAAGTGCCTATTCACAGTCATCAATGGTAGCTGGGCATGAACAGAATTTAAACTTGGTAACATTTTTACTATGCTTCTTCAGATTACACTAACAAAAAAAAAAAAGGAGACTCAGACTTTTCCCATTTGGTAAAAAAATCACCAAATGCTTGGATCAAAATCTTCCTCCAGCATGCTGCTGAGGTTAAAAAAGGAAAACTGTCTCTGGCTCCCACTCACTGATGCATATTTTACGTGGGAAGTACCTGCTAACTATACTTTCTAGTCTACAATTTTTTTTTAATAACTGGATATTCTAGACTATATTTCTCTTTGAAATTAGAGTCTATAGGAAAATAGGGTTCAATACACAGTAACTGCCATTTTAGTAAAAAAGGTAGATACTAAGCCTCTGTGTATTGAGATTTCTATTCCCTTAACCGTGTTGTTAGATTGAGAATTTAGATTTTCTTATTTTAATTTGCCAAACAGTTCTTGTTTTATTTGAATTAATTAGCATCCTAGAGAAGCAGCTCTCAAAGTGTGGTCTAGGGACCACTGGGGAATCCCTAGTAGCAAGGTTAGAATTATTTCTTATAGTAATATACGGAGGCTATTTGTCCTTTCATTCCCATTATCTTCCAACTGTACAGTCAATTTTCCAGAGACCACATGGGATGTGATGACACACAAGAACAAGTGCAGAAGCAGATACAAGAATCCAGCTGTCTTCTCTTAATACCAGACTTCAAAAAGATTTGTAAAAATATAAAACAATGCCACTCCTCTCAGTAATTTATTTTGGGAGTTATCTTTTATTAAAAATGCTACTTATAGAATATGTAATAGATTTATTGATGTTATTTTAGATAAAGTAATATTTTCAAATTTTCTGAGTTTTAACTTATAATAAATACCAACAAATACAAGTCATACAAATAAAGCTCTTTGGGGCCCTCAAATATATTTAAGAGTATAAAAGGATCCTGAGATCAAAAGTTTGAGAACCACTAATTGAGAGAGTAGCATAATGAACATGAGAATAAAACACAAAGAGCATTTACTAAGGAAGATGTAGGTGATACTCACCAAGTGGATCTTCCATGTCAGTTCTGACCAGTTTAAGGAGGTAGGATAGTTTCTAAAGAGAGAAAAGAATAAATATGATGCTTAAAATATGGAATACATCATCTTAAACAAAAATAAATAAACCCAGTTCAGTAACTGATTACAGTTTAAAAATACAGCATTATAGAAATGTACAACTTATAAAGTGAGAACACTGTCTGTCAATTGAGATTTGTTTTTAAGGGTGTGAAAATCAGATTTATAATATAAATTTCATAAAATAATTAAGGATAATTTTCATTTTAAAATATATTATTGTTTTCCATGAATAACTTGGTTGAGAACTAAACTGTTTGAGATGGGAAACATTTGAGAACCGAGGTTTGAATGAGTAACATTCCCTAAGAAACCTATGGCTCTAAGACTCCATATGCCATAGGTCTCACGGACTCCACACTCAGAAGTCATCTGCACTTAAAAATTTTTTGTTTTTTGTTTTATTTTTTTAGAGAGAGGGGAAGGGAAGGGAGAAACTGAGGGAGAGAAACATCGATGTGCAAGAGAAACATTGATCAGTTGCCTCTTGCATGTCCCCAAAGTAGGGACACGGCTCACAACCCAGGCATGTGCTCTTACTGGGAATCAAATCAGCGACCCTTCAGTTAGTGGAGAGATGCCCAAGCCACTGTGCCACACCAGTCAGAGCTGCACTTGAAGTTTAATGCTGTGCAGTTGCTATCTTAAAATTCTTGGTAATTTTATTTGTAAATTTGTGTTCTTTAAGAGAAGTCTGATAAGGCAAATAATAAACGTGCTGGGGGCTTGAAGCTTCAGCTCACACACATGATCTACTGCCTCCTGTTCTCCTAGGAGGCTCTTGGCCATACACTTGGGCACCCCCTGGCCATCCTATCCCCATCTGGGCTGGGAGAACCATGGCACTTCTGGTGGACAGTTTCTATTGCTCACTCTCAATCCAGGAATACAAGGCATATAGATCATATATGTGGCCCTGCTTATGGCCATTTATCCAGGTAATGGGAAACTGGGGCATAATGGTAAACAGGAACACTAATGTTTTGAGGGCAGGTTGACATTGACATCTGGATAATGGAAGTGTCATCATGGACTTATGTGGACCAGGAAATAAACTGAGTCCTGGCCCAATACCCAGTTGACAATGGGCCCACTGGGTCTGTGGACCTCCTGGTGATCACTCCCCTGGTCCCTGCATATTATATAATTGAAATAGACATACTTGGAAATTAGTGCAACCTCCATTTGGAGTCTTTAGCATGTAGGATAAGAGTTTCATACTGGGGAAGGCCAAGTGGAAGGAAACCACTAAGAGCTGCCCTACACCACATGCTAAGATAACAAATAAAAAAACCAAACAAAACAGTATTGTATCCCGGGGCTGAAGGAGGGAAGATGTGAAAAATCAGAGCTAAATTCTTTTTTTTTTTTAAATTTAAAATTTTATGTATTTTTAGGCAGAGGGGAAGGGAGGAAGAAAGAGAGAGGGAAACATTAGTGTGTGGTCCCCCCTCGCACTGGCTAGCAACCCATGCATGTGCCCTGACTGGGAATCGAATCTTTCACCCTTTGACTCACAGGCCAGGGCTCAATCCAGTGAGCCACACCAACCGGGGCTAGGGCTATACTATTAAAAGATGATGTAGGATTCACCTCTGTGGTTGCTATGGAAACTAGACAAATCCTGGAGGAAAGTAGCAAATTACCACAAACTCAGTCTAACAGTTGTCGCAATGTAGCTGCCAGTTTGGTGATCATGGAACACCAAAGATGCCAGATGTGGTACCTTTTCTAGAGAAGATTAACACAGAAATTGGAGAAATAAACTCTTTCTTTTATCCCTATAAGCCCTGGCCAGGTAGCTCAGTTGTTAGGGCCTCATTCTGATAAGCCAAGGTTGTGGGTTTGACCCCCCAGTCAGGGCACATACAAGAATCACCCCAAAACGTACCAATGAGTGAAACGACAAAGTGGTGTGTCTCTCTCTCTCTCTTTCTTTCTCCCTTCCTCTCTCTCTCTCTAAAATCAATAAATTTTAATTTTTTTAAAAAAAGAAACAAAATAGCATCAGAAACAAATCATATTCACATAAAACGAATTACAACATACATTTACAGGACTACATCAATTTTGGCTCCCTTTCACTAACACGGTCCTAAGAGATATGTACCATCTGGACTTCCTGCAGAAAATCACAGTAAAACACTAAATTAACAACATCATGCTAACTGAGCTAGGTAAGTGAAAGACTGATAGCACATTAAAGGCCTTGTCAGGACACATGGACTCCAAGGGTGAGGGATAAATGCTACAAAGATTCAGATACCAATTACATCAGGAAAATTTTTATAGGCCCAGTCACCAGAGACTTGATAAGACATGCCATTTGAGCAAAGGCATCCAAATAAATAACTGAATCTTGTATGTCCCACCATTAAAAAGGAAGCACAATACCTGAGAATACTGCTCTTTTGTACTGGGTGACACAAAAAGTTGTCGCTTTCGAGAGCAGCCAGAACAGAGAAGGACTCTACAGGCCTAGGTGGTGATGCAAATACACTGGCAGATCCTGTGGTATTATGGCAAGGCCCAGTGGGAGAATCGTTACATGGACCCCTGGGGCTCTACAGCGAGGCCATCCAGTTGCAGCAGAAAATTGTATGCTTCCTGCAAAACAACTCCTGGCACGCTGCTGGGTCCTTGCAGATAAGGAACACCTGCCCATACTGTGCCACATGACCATTTACCCAGAATCACCCACCATCATGACGTAGTTCTGCGAGACTCACCAGCTCATAATGTCGGGTGGACCCAACAAGAATCCAGTTTAATGAAAGCAATACATCCAGTTTCAAGCACAAGCAGTACCAGAAGTCACAGCATTAGCAGACAGCCCAAACCTCATATCACCTGCCACTACTGCACAAGCACCACTCCCCCAGCATATACCTTTGGCCATATGAGGGCCTAAACCACCAGGTGAGAAAGAAAAAACCTCACCTCTTCTACAGATGGCTGTATGTGGGCACAAATAAAAAATGTAGTAGCTGCAATGGCACTGAAAGACAGTGATGACGGAAACCCTCCCAATGAGCAGAGCTTTGGGCAGTACACCTGACTGCCTACATTGTGTAGTTTGGAGTTAGAACACAGACAACTCGCAGGCAAATGTCCTGACATACTGGTCAGGGGGGTGTAAGGAGAAAAATTGGAAAATTGGGCAAGGAGGTCTTAAGATAGAAGCATACAGAAGGATGTAATAACAGACACATTTGATACCTTGGCTGGTGTGGTTCAGTGGACTAGGCACCAGCCCGTGAACCCTAGCTCACCGGTTTGATCCCCAGTCAGGGCACATGCCTGGGTTGTGGGCCTGGTCCCCAGTGTGGGGCACATGAGAGTCAACCACACATTAATGTTTCTCTCCCTCTCTTTTTCCCTCCCTAACCCTCTGTCTAAAAATAAAATAATCTTAAAAAAAGAACAGACACTTTGTATCCCATGTTAACAGTCATCTGAGAACATCTACCATGAAAGAGGCACTAAACAACCAAGTAGGCAATGACTCAACCAGTTTTCATCAGCCATCTCTTGTCATGGTCAAGTGCTGACGAATGAGCTCATGAAGGAAGGTGGTCATCTGCAGTGAGCATGCACTTCTTCCCGCTCCTGGCCAGCAGCCTACCGATCTCCCCCTCCTGTGTCCCAGGTCTAACCCATCTCTTCTTTTTCCTCCACCTCAGGTGGAGTCACTGCCAAGGTGCAGGTTTTTGTGACCATCACTCTCGAGGCTGAACCTTTAGACACAACAGAAAATATAAAGGCCAAGCCCAGGGTAAGGAATGAACTCCTCCTGATAAACAGACTGATCTTTGCTGGCAAGCAACAGCAGGACGGACGCCCTTTGACGACAACATTCAAAAGGAGTCCGCACTTCATCTTGTGTTGAGACTTTGTGCTGGTGCTGTGAAAAGGAGAAGTCTTACCACCACCACCCCCCTACAAGAAGAACAGGCATGAGAGGAAGAAGGCGAAGCTGGCTGTACCAAAATGCTACAAAGTGGATGCGGTGGAAAAATCAGCTGCTTCATCAGGAGTGCCCCTCAGATGAAGGCAGTGCTGGAGTTTTTATGGCCAGCCACTTTGACAGACATCACTGTGGCAAACGTGGTCTGACCTACCACTCCAACAAACTAGAAGACAGATAATTGTATATGGGTTAATGAAAGACATGAATTTAAAAGAAAAAGGTGACCGTGGTGGCAGAGATCTACACTATGCATGGACTACACAGTTACCTATGAACTACACATGCATCCCACTTACCAAAAATGCTGCAGCTACTGATGCCGCCAAAAGTCCAGTGGCCAGCAACAGGTTCCTACACTAAGCTCACAATATGGCACAAAACTTTTTTAATGATCACCCAAGAATATTTTTATTAATTTTAGAGACAGACAAAGGCAGAGAGAGAGAGGGAAAGAACATCAATGTGAGAGAAAAACATCAATCCGTTGCCTCCCGTACATGCCCTGAGGATTGAACCTACAACCTTTTGGTGCACGGGACAATGTTCCGAATAACTAAGCACCTAGCCAGAGCTGGCACCACCTTTTAAGGAAACCAACCAGCTACTTGATGGCAAGTTGATTATATATATATATTGCATCCTGGAGGACAGCACTATTTTGTCATAAAATACTAGTGTTGGTGCTTCAGCTGTGCCTTCATCAGGCCATTCCAGTCCTCTTTCAAGTTAGCAGCTTCCAGAGATGATTCTACCTACGATGCCACCACTAGATCCCACGGTCTGGTCCCTCTCCTGCACTTATTACAAAGCAGGTCCCCTGTCATGAAATGATGTTCTGTGAGAAGATGCTTACTGGTAGATTAAACACTTCCCAACGTCACACGTAGTGTTCACTGCACAGCCTTAAGGGTGGGAAAGACAAACCTACACCCAGAATACATCCCTATTTCTTTAGGAATAAATTCTTTACTCTTCCAGGGTTCAAGGCGCCAAATACAGTTGACCCT